TGAGCTACTGGCAGAAATGAATAGATAGACAGAGGAGCAGAATGCAGTGTAACTGGCAACGAGGGTATAAGATTTGCATCAGGCAGTGTTCAATCTGAAAGCTAGTCAATCAGTGATGAGCTATGGGAGAGCTGATGCATGTTCAGTAGCCTGAGCATTTTGGAAATGCCACACACTGTCGGGCAGAAAATAGTCATGTTCATTGAAATGACTACTTTTATATCAATATTTAATACATCATATGTTTGAGTATTTTAGAAGTTTTTTCTGTATTAAATATCATTACAACTCTAAAATGTTTGTTTTATGCAATATTTCTTTATTAAATTTTATTAGTGAAGCCTTAAGTTTTGCATTTTTTTGTAAAAGTAAAGTTGTGAAATGAAGATTGTGACAGCTAACACATATCTAAGCAGCCCAGCTCAACTAGTGGTGCACAACAGAAACAAACCCTTGGCAAAATTACAGAAATATTAAAACAATGAAAATAAATTTTAGATTTTTCAATTTAACAGTTACCTTAAGTTCAAGACTTTAAAGCAAAATATACAAATTTCAAAGCTTTCCAAGATAATCTCTAGAGCTGAAATTCAAGACTTATCAATGCTTTTTTTTCTCTATGGCAATGTATGAATTCAGCAATGGCATTATGTCATGCACACTGCAAATCTGAGGCAACTGTTCAATATGATTGTACACAAAAACTGTGATATTTTTGCACTGTAATAAATTGCTTTAGTTATCAACTGATAAATTTAATTTTAAAGAATTCTTCTAATAAACAATTTTTATATTTATAGTTTTTAGGTTTTTTTTTTTTAAATGTCACGTATATTTTTGTGTAACTTGTATCATTTTGGAAAAATATTTTTATCTGCAGTCTTCTGAAACTGTTTAGCAGTGTCCACCAATTTTGATTATTTTGGTTGTTTAGATTCAGTTATGTCCATGTTTATAATCAATTAAACCACACTTACAAACATTTTGAAGGTAAATAGCAAAGAAAGCATGATACTTTTTAAGTTTTAACAACTGCTCAGTCATTTGGATGCTCACCCGGTGCTGCCAAAAAATAATAAATAAGGATGTTTTACAATGTCTATGATGTACAATCAAAATTTAAACAATTTACAAATGCATTTATTATCAAATAATTCACTCTGTATAATAATGCATTTGTTTTTAAATAAATAGTTTTGTCTTCACTATTGTTACGACAGCGGAAGTCATGTGACACTGGTAACACGTAATGAGTTCTAGAAAGATCGGGGAACATCACGAATAATCCAGTATTTGCTAGGCGCCTTCTATACTTGTATATAAGTGCGGCAGACAAATAATTGGAATAGAATTGCAGACAGACAGAGACGGACAATTGAGTCAAGCGCGGTAGTAAGTAAGTGCGTGAATCATTCGTAGAGAATTATAGCGTGTGTTTAAGTGTATTGCAAAGTTGTATTGAGAAAGAATAAACTATTTCTATTTAAGAATGGACTTGTATCGCTGAAGTTCTTCGGAAGGAATTTCTACGGAAAATTAACAAATGAACACAGAGACATAACACTATATATTACACTACCAACATGATATTGGCTTTTAATGCTCAGCTGGTGCTATAAAGTTTAGTTTCAATAAACTATAGACAAATTATAGTTAGTTATGATTGAACCTCCAGGAAGAACCATTAAATCAGTTTCAGTAAAGCAATAGAATCTTTTTCTTCTTAAATAGCAATTCTATTCACCATTCTTTCAGTTTTAAGATTTTTTGGAAAAACTACAGTTGATGCACATATAAAACAATAAAAACTTTTATATCTCCAATGTTTAGAAACCCCTTTTTCCTTCATTTTCTAATGTACAATTCCAAAGTATCAAAAGTTCAAATAACAATTGGTTTAATAATGGCTGGAGATGGCTTAAATGCCGTCTCCAGCCATTATTAGTCTCAAAGTGGGTTCCTCGTCATCGAATTTGAAAACAATTGGTTTGTTGTATGAATATTTCATTGTCAATTCTCAGCAGTCAACAATCAAAAACAAGAAAACAGTGCTTGATCTGCTTCATCTAAAGTCACCAAATTCTATTGTATGTGTATTTTCTATAAAGTTTTAAGGAAAATTTTTGTTTATACTTTTTTCCACCAATTTAATTATATTTTTAACTTCATTGCACAAAGAAAGAAGTTAACATGTTAATCTGATATCAAGACTTTTCAGTGTAATATGAAAAAACATTTCTAAGTCATTGGCATCATGAACAGCACTGGTTTACTTTTTTATTCATATTTTTAAACATTTTACAAAACACTTAAATTTTTCATTACTATAAGCATAAACCAAATATTAGTACCACTGCTCATTTGGTGGATATGGTTGCCTCAAAATCGTGCTACTTCTAAATGAAGAAATTTTTGTGTGCACTTCACAGTGACTTATTAAACCAATTATATGCACAGTTCTACAGGTTTTTCATAAAGCTCATTACTTTAAGAAGTAATGTCTAGACATGTATCAATTTCCTTCATAATGAGTTAATAAGCAGATCCTTCAATTTTTGATGCATTAATCTTGACAATTGATAACTTACCACACTTTCGAGCTTGTTTTCTAATAACTGGTCCAATGATTTTAAGTAACAGCTGCGAAGACTCTCAGGGTTTTCTCCAATTGGCCCAACAGTATGAATTACATCTGAATTTGAAAAGTTGCAAAGAAAGGGTTTTTTAAAATATATAAATAGCCCTAACTTAAACTTAGATTTTTAATTTTATAGCTCTGGAAATAACAAAGGTAAACTCTGATAGAAAAACAATACTTACATACATATAAAAATCTTCTAGCTGATTTTTTACCCTTTTCAAAAGTGCAAATTTCCAAACTCTTTAAATTGAGATACCCAAGCTATAAACATTTGATGAAGATTTCAATCTACAAGCTTTTTCTTTCTAAAGATTACATGAAAAAAAAGGAACGTGCAAAATTTATAAAAATAATCTACTCACACTTTGCAGGTAGCTTATAGCCTCCTGTAATTTTTGCATCACCAGTATTGCATCCCCCTAAAGCAATACATTCTTCTAGCAGGCTTGGACCAGCTGCTCGATGTATGGCACCATCAACTAAATTTATAAAATAACTTTAGTATTGATACAGGTCTGTCAAACACTTTTTTTTAACAAACTGTTTATGTGATCGTGTGTGCGTGTATCTATCTCTCTCTCTCTCTCTCTCTCTATATATATATATATATATATATATTGTTACGACAGTGGAAGTCACACGACGTT